AAAGTTGAGTTTGTTATCGAATTTTCTTTAACGAACTAAGTTGTTTTTATTGTTTTGTAAAGCTTTCCATATATTGCATGTGTATTATTGCTTTATATTGAGTTGAGTACTCAGAGTCGAATATCATATCTTTGAGTTGAGTATCTTATCCTTGAGTACTTCTGAGTTGAGTAAGTTGAGTAGTTTTGAGTATCCTTGAGTATTCCTTGAGTTGAGTAAGTTTGAGAAGAGGTAAGTATGCTTCCTTTTTATCAAGTTTTTAAGCTTATGTTTTATGCTTTTAGAATTCCTCTTACAAGCTCGTACATTCCACGTACTGAGCCATTTGGCCTGCATCTTTTCATAATGTAGACACGGGTATTCAGGATCATCAACAGGAGCTTCGTTGATACATCCGAAAGTTCAAGTTAGCTATGGTGAGCCTCCTTGTTTCCGGAGGATTTTTCATTTACTTTTCACACTACTAAAAGATTGTCAAAACACGACGGCCAAAAGCGACGGACTGCGTCATTTTTTGGTCATAATCGACGGAAAAGCGACGCAGTCACCTCCGTCGCTTTTTAACCCGATGCTTTTCAAAAAGCGACGGACTGCGTCGCTAAGAGCGACGAACTGCGTCGCTAAGAGCGACGAACTACGTCATCTTTTACTTTTTTTAATTTTTTTTTTTTAACAAAAGCGACGGACTCCATTGCTTTATTTGAATTTTACTTTTTTTTATTTCTAAAAGGCGACGCAATCCGTCGCTTTTGTGGAAATTTTATTTTTGAAAATCCCAGAAAAACGACGGACTAAACCACGTTGTCCGTTGCTTTTTCTGCAATATTTTTGACAGTAGCAGCTTGCAGCTTCTGCTGCCCACCTGCAAATGCAATTCAATTCAATTCTACACTATTCAGCTCAATCAAACACACACAATTATAAACAATCTAAACAAAACATAAAACAACAAACTTAAAATAATATTCAAAAGTATTTAAATCATAAATTAAAGACTTATAAAGTCTTTTAAAATTCGTTTCAAAATTTCAAAAGTTCATAGATGTCCAGAGATCTAAACTAGGGAGTGAGATCTATATAATCATCCTCATCACTCTCGTCGTCGGTGTCATCGGGAGCCGAAGTAGTAGGTCGACGAGCGAGGTTCATCACTTGTTCTTTGATTTGCTGAACGGTCTCACTCATGCTTTCTTGTTCAGCTACTCTCTCCGCTCCGACTCTGCTAGTGCTGCTGTAAGTTTAGCTATTTGATCCGACATAACAACAATCTGAACACCGTCAAGTGCCTCGGCTTGACGTGACGATCCAATACCTTCTAAGCCATACTGAAGTCGTCTAACATAGTTGCGAGAGCCTAGACCATAGAATCTACCCTTGTGTGTCCCCCCTACCACTTTTTTCTTTCCAAATCTGGGTGGACAGTTCAGGTGTCAATTGGACCGAACTATCTAGATTCTCAGCGACGTACTGATGAAAGTCATTCTGCATATTAAATATAAAAAATTGACATCAATATATATACATATCATAAATATATTCACTATTAATATATATTATTCATATTAAATAACTTACAAAAGTTCGTTCGGCCCTTTCCTCCACCCACACATCCGGATCCGACTAATTTTCTTTCTTCCTGACATGAGTCTTCTTGAAAACCTCTGGTTCAATAGGAGTGCGTCCCAATTCTTTTTCCAATAAATAAAAACTAAAATTTATAACGATATATATGAATCAACTAATTATTTACTTAAAAGTTTGAATTAGAACTTACCATCTCTCGTGCAATTGTTCCAACCGTCTTTGCACCTCCGGTGTGCAACGAGCCACCTTTAAGATTGCCTCTAGCCTTTTTGGCTTGATCTGATATTGCTTTAAACTTGTCTGTGTTCCAATACTGACCCAATTCATCAAAAACATGAGGCAACATCCAACCAGGACGTTCACCACTATCCCAAACTTTCTTTAGCCAGCTAGACAGTCTGGCGGATGCCTTCCTCTCAAATATGGTCCCAATGACCAAATTGTACCTAAACTCCCAAGTACACATAGTCTGAATTTTTTTTTGAATAACATTAATTAAATCGATAGTAAAAAAAAGTAAAGTATACTAAACTTGACAAAAAAATATATACCTTAAAGTTATTAAACATCGCATGGCGTATATTGTTTGGAATCTCGCTCCAAGAGTGATAAGCATGTGTATAGAGTCTTCTAACACAGTCGTTTAAAGCCCAAGCAGCATCCTTTGCAGGATGCCACCTGCAAAACACATAATAAATATGTTAGTTCATGAATAATATATTAAAGTATAAGAAATAAATAAAATAAACTAACAAATAGATAACAAAACAAACTTACGATGATCCATCCGACTCAATCATGACTCTACTAAGTTTGTCCTTCTGGCCAGGAGCTAGAGCAGACATCGTATCATGTGGTGTAGCACTAGGTGTAGTTGTAGACGAGGGTGATACATCAGGATGCACAAAACGCTGAGTCAATGGAGGCGTACCGGCCATAATATCTGACTGCTCGCTACTAGAATCTCCAAGCCTCATGGAAGATAACTGAGGAGATGTACCTGTGGGGGATGGAGTACCTGCCGATAAGTGTCGTGCTCGACGAATATCCTGTAAAGGTAGGTCCTCATAGCGTCGTGAAGGCAATGGCTGTGAAGTAGCTGAAGCACAGACTGGTCGACAGTAATTAGGATAATATTGCCGATGATCCGCTATACCAAACGGAACAGCAAATAAATGAGTATCATGGCTGATGCGTTTTGGCATAGAAGAAATAGATCCTGCAATATCCTCAGGATCTATCGGTCTCCTAGACTTCTTCTTCTTAGCATGTTTAGTCTGGCTAACTCCAAGATGCTCGTGATGTCTATCACCGTCACCGCCTGATGACATCTGTATGCAAATTTACATGTATAATATATATAAAAATCATAAATTAAATAAAATTAGCAAAATACACTTACATATACTAGCTAGCTTTCATTCTACACTATTCCTCCTCGCTTGTTTCAATTCCATCATTCTCCCATTCTTCCTCCTCAGTTGTTTCATTTTCATTATCGTCCCATTCTTCGTCATCAAATGATTCATTTTACTCATTCTCAGATATTTCTTCTTCAACATTCAGTATCTCATCATCAGACACTTCTTCTAATATGTGTTAAGGATGTTGTAGTGTGGTTTCCAATTCAACATCAACTTGTTGTTGAACAATTGCAACATCATTTTGATACGCCACATCTAAGACATTGTCAATTTCAATTCTTCCCACAGGCTTACTTTTTATAACAACCCACCAATCAGTTTTGTCTCTACGCAATGGATATGAAGCATAATACACTTGTTTAGCATTTTGTGCAATAATAAAAGGATCATAACTTCTATATTTCCTGGTGTGCTTAACTTCAATTATATTACGTTGATGGTCCACCTTTGTGCCTCTATGTGATGGGTCAAACCACTCACACCGAAACAATACAATCTTCTTATTAGGCCAACCTGAATACCTCACTTCAATAATCTCTTGAATGACACCATAATATTCAATAGTTTGACCAGTACCATCAACATCACCTTGTATGTAGACACCGCTATTATTTGTTTTCTGGTTCCTAGAAACTTCTTCAATTTGAAACTTAAAACCATTGACACAATACTTATTCATTGTCAGTACTTGAGATGCAGGTCCAAGTGCTACTTCTTTCACTAATTGCAAATGTTGGACACTTGAGTATTCATAGTAAACCTACGTGATTGTTTTTTCAAGTAATATAATTTAGTATAACATGAATATATTATTAAATACTTAGTGATTGCACACTTACATAGTTCCTCAGCCATTTGGAAAATTCTGTATAGATGGCTTCATTACCCCATGTGTTTACGAACAAGCTGATCATTTTACATTCAAGTATTTCGTTAGTTAATGATCACTTATTAGTATGTAATTTAATAACATATTTTTAACACTTACTTGACATATGATTGAATCTCTGGACAATTAAGCAAAATATGTATCACAACTGATT